TCTTAATACACTTAATACAGAATATGTCTGACTTGTTCAAAACTGTGCAAGATGCAGTGCAATCTGCAAAACTAGCAATCCAAGATCTTGTTAAAAAATTTAAAAAATTGGTTGGTATCTTTTTTTTTTATTTTATGTATTACATCAAGATTAAATACACAAAACATGCTAAAAAGGCTACTATTATAAAAATCTATTTACAGATACGTGAAGAATCATCTCTATCTTCTGTTTCTGCAAGATCTGTTGTGACATTGACAGACTCATTAGGACAATGTAAAGAGAAATTGGATGTTTGTTTTCACGAGATAAGCAAACTTAAAAGTGCTGTATATTCCAAAGAAAAACTAGTAAGTTATATGTGTGTGCGTTTTCTCATTAAAAAAAATTTTTTTTTTTTGTACTATAATATATGAACTGAACAATATAGTATATTTAAACAATATGCAAGTCATATTAATTATATAAATGTAACTATTATTTTTATAAATATAATATTTTTTTTATAATTATCTAAATATTTAAAATTGAATGAACTCTTTCCAATTTGGAGTAAAATACGAGATATAATTTTTGTTTCGGTTTCTATATAAAAATGAATCTGTTTTTGTGTGAAAAAATACATATTTATTAGAAAATCACATACAATTAAGTGTAAATTTTATTAACAAAATTATTCTAGCTACAAAATATGGAGGAAGTCATACGAATACAACGGGACTCCTTAACAATGAGTCAAACAGAAGTAAAAGATCTGCATCAGAAACTACAAGACAAGGTAAATTGTGAAATTAGTAGTGTAGATTTTAATTGATGGGAGATCTCTTATGATATTATGCGATAATAATGTTTTGATTAAAGATGTCATAATGCTGCTATTGCTTTTTTAATTGAAAACTTTAAATTATTAATTTACGCTTTTCCTCTATGATATATTTTTATATTATACAGGAATATTATATATATTTTTATGTACATTGCATATTAATAGGCGACATGTGTCATAATGTATATTATAAATAATACTAATATATCTATACTTGTCAAGAATGAAGTTTGGAGGTACGTATTGACAAAATATTATAATATACAAAATAAATTTTTTACAGATTGATAAACAAAACCTTACTATCGCGCAATATGAGAGAGAGAAAAATGAATTGCTGAAACAGGTTTGCCCCTTTCCTTTTTTTGCCATCTTTTATTACTAATAACATTTGCGTTCCAACATTGTGCTATGCTTTGTAGAATGAACTCCAGATTCAAACCATTGGTCATTTACAAAATGCCGTTGTTGAAGCAAAGAGAAATTTGGATCAAATGGGTCATAAAGCGATGAGCGATGTGAGTGACCTGAGACCTGCGATATCGTCTTCGGCCTTTAATCATAGGAACGTGCATGATGTTTAAACGTGTAAAATTATGAATAGTTCAAATTGCTATTTAGCTTTTGCGTTAAAATGTATTTATTACAATTGTAAATAATGCTGATTGATGATTAGTAAAAATAAGATTCTTTGAAGATGATGGACTATTGCATTTCTCTTTTCGCCTTTAATGTTTTTATGTTGTAACAATGCGAATGCAATGGAATATAATGAGTGCCATGCATGACATGTAGCTCGTTTAATCAAGATGTTTAAAGCTTTGTGATATGCTGGTCACGCTTAAATATCTTATTCATGAAGTGACGAAAAATTGTGTGTGTTATATATACAAGCTATCTAGATTAACAAGTGTTCTGGATGATCCAAAATTAACAAATAACACGAACTACGTGAGTGTCCTCTGTTTTTAGATCTAAAAAAAGAATAAATTGTATAAAAAAAAATGCATTGTATCTTTACAGCTTTGCAAGAAAGATGAAACTATTCGTGAATTAACAATGTGTATTGATGAAACGCAGCATCAGTATAATGAATGTTTTACAGAGGTGAGAAATATTATATTTGTATCAATTAAAAATTTCTCTTGATTAATTAGTCAACATATTACTAAGTATTTTTAATCTAATTCTTTTTTGTATATACTCATAAGGCAACTAATCAGGATTTATTATTGGATTTGCAAAGAGATTCTATTGACAGTCTGCACAAGAGAATTCATTGTCTGGAGTATGATAAATGTCTAATCATTACTACTCTGCATACAATGTATTCTTCGATCTTAAGCGTAGTACAGGTATAGTATGAAGTCTTTATCTTTCAATAATTTACATTAACAATAATTGAAATAATGAAAGAATCTTGTACAATTTCAATAAAGAAATATACACATTGAATATAAGTGTTATATTTTCTATTATATATATAATGAATATATACTATGTAACAAAAAACTAAGAAAAAAAATTTATGATATATATATGAAATTATATAAATTTGTGTACATGCATTTATGTTTGTCATGTTATTAATTTAAATATGCGAGATGATTTAAAGAATTAAACTCAATCTTTTACAGAAATAAAATATTTGAATTTTTTCAGGAACATATACATGATCATGTAAAGGATCTCCGGGAATTGAAATGGAAGGTACATTATTAGAAACATAAACTACTGTTTGAAATTTTTGTCTTTATATATGTATTGGATATATTTTGTCACAGATGGATAGTTTTATGCAGATGAATTATTCTGAAAACAAATACATGAACAAATCATGTACAATGTCTCTTAGAGACAAAAGCTGCGATACTCAAGATCTGGAATATTCTTTAAATAATATTGTGTTTAGAAGGTCATTGCTGAAAGGACATTCAGGTAATTTTCTATCTATATAAGATAAAATCTAAGACAAAGATTTACAAAAATAAATATATTAATATCTCAGATAAAGATGTGGAGAATACTGCTCAAATACAACAACTAACTGAATTACAAAAGATAAAAGATAGAGAATGCAGTTTAAGATGCGAAAATCAGCGACTTAAGACTGATCTACAGTGTCACATATCAGAAATTGACAATTTGAAGAAACAACTAGAGCATGCTAAACAAAAGGAAAGTGAATATGAGAAACTTTTATCGAAGCTAGAAGAGGAAGAGAAAGAGGTGACTATGTTTAAGTTTTCCTTCCTTGCATGTTCTCAATTACTTTATATTATTTTGACTTCTTAAAATGTTTGATTGCATAACAATAGTGACACCAAGAATATGTAAACATAAAAAAATCCTAGTAATAATTTAAATTTAATAGTTAAATAAAATTTCAAGATTAAAATGTATAGATGGAAGTATTAGTAAGATTTAGTAGATTTTAGTATGCGTATGTGTGTGTAAAATTTATGAAGATTAAAAAATATTGTATTACCTATTTTTTTATCTATAATATTAAAATCTGTAATCATATATTTTGTTTTTCCAAGAAAAAACATTAATATCACTAAATAATTTGTAGATTGAAATCTTAAATGACCGAATTACTAATAATGAAGAGATCATTAAGAATCAGTCTAATGAACTTGAAATGCTTAGAAAAAGATTACTCATGAAGGATCAACAGATGGAGGAAGATTTATCTGATTTAAATGTATCAGAGCACGAAATGCTGAATCTTCTGTGTAATCGAATATATTCTTTGAAAGTTTTACTTCAAGAGAAATCGGAAAACATGGTTAAATTACAAGCCGATTACGAATTACTTAAAGTACATATAGATAATCGTATCTTAATGTTTAGTGTATAATAGAATATACAAAGTGATTTGCATTTATTGATCGATCAATTGCGTCTGTTCCAGAATGAGAATTCTATATTAAAAAGGCAGAACGATATTACTGAAACTCGAGCTCAAGATGATGTCTTTCAGTTGAAGAAAAGGGTAATGTATAATAAAACTATCTTCTTGCATTTATCGAAAAGGACGAATCTTTTATGTGATTCCTTTCTTTCAAACTTTTTCAGCTCAAAGCAACACGCATAAAATTGCATCAGATAGAAAGTGATTATCAAGGAATGATAGAAGATTTCAATGAAGCTCAAAAACAGTTAATGTTAGCAACAAAACGCGAAGTAGACTCGCAAAAATCATTAATAATTATGGTAATATGTTATTACGAAATAGATAGCATTTTAGCAAATTAGTTACTAAAATTATATATATTTTATTTTAGGAACAAACTTATTGTTCTAAAATCGAAAAAATAGAAAATGAAGCGGTCGATCTGCGTGATTTGGTGGACAAATTGAGCGAAGAATTGGAAGAAACAAAAAAAAAACTTGAGTCGAAAAGTATCGAGCTTTGTCAAGCGCAAGATAAATGCAAAAGTTATACTGATCATTTAGATATCATACGACAAGATGTATGTATATATATTTTTATTTATAATAATTTTATTTTACAAATATGAATAAAATAGAAATAAATTGTTTGGATTTAATAAATTTTTTATTTTCTTAGCTCGAGACGGAAAAGGATGAATTAATGAAGGCCGAGAATGTGAATCGTGATTTGATTCAACAGTTGCAAGAATATATGAACGAAAATTATCATCTTGGCCAACAGAAGATTTTACTTGAGCGAAATAATTCCACGTACATAACCGAGGTACAATGCTTTTTCTTGTCAATATTTTTAAACAAAAGATATATATACAATTTACGAATATTTTTTTTTAATCACATATCATTACATTTGATACACAATTGTAATCAGTAGATATATCATTTTTTCCGTTTTAATTATAATTTATCGTATTTTTATTTTAATATTAAGCTGTTATTTCCATTTTAGTTAAAGGATATGCGCAAATCTTTGTTTGAATTGAAAAAGGAATGCCATTTAAAGGATCAATCTCTAACATACATGTCAGTTGATTTGACTGAAGCAGCTGTGAGTAGATCAGAACTCTGTAAGGAGTCTCAATATATAATTTCATGTATCCGTGATTGTATGGAACAACAAAAAAAATACAACAAAACTCTAGCAAAAAATCTGGAAAATAAGCAACAACTTTTAATGCAGCTTATATTTGAAAAAAAGTAAGTGTACAAGTAATATATTTAATAATTTTAAATATGGGTATCTTTTTTAGTTTCTTTTTCTCTTTTTTTCCTCATTTATCCTCAAAATCAAAGGTGTTTTCTTTTTCTTCTGCATTATGTATCTATTTATTTAAATAAAAATTATTTTTATAGAGCTCTATTAATTAAAATCAAGAAGTTGAAACGAATTAATTTATTGGCACAGAAACTGAAACGAACGCACAGACAATTATTAACTGGTAGAGGTCTTAAAAAAACGCATATAAAAAACTATAATATCTCGCCGTCGAAAACGCGTCAGGATGTAGAAACAGATTTAATTTCAAGTTTGGATTATACAGATTTATATAAGGTTAGTATTTGAAAAGAAAAAAAAGAAGAAAAATCAGAATTCTTCAGATTGCTTTATTTTTTCTCTTGTTTTTAGAAATATTCCATAGAACCAAAAGAAACTAATCAACATATATCGACATGCGGTGACTCGTGGTGGTTTCCTAAAATGGAACATTTAATGAATGAAATGCAGAAAAGTAATCAACGGTGGAATGACAATTTTAACCACGCAACGGAATCTGATACTTCATTGGAAGAAAACCGTGATTACGGTTATCAGTCTTCTTCTGCAAGCAAATGAAGAGGAGCGAGAGATTTTTCGTCATAAAGACTGAAAAAATTAAACGTTTCTTGTAACATGTACAAATATGTTTATCACTGCTGCACAACAATACAGTAATGAGTCATATAAACAAGATGTAGTAACACGATATTTTCTATATATATTTTGTGAAAAAATTCAAGTATTATTTCAGCTTGGTTTGGTGTGAATACTTCTGCACAGTATGGTGGATCCTAGAATTGTTGAGGATACTGAGTAAATATATATTATATGTACAACATAAATTAATATATACATTATAATTACAGTATATTATAATTAAACTTCGATTATAAGACAATTACCATAACGGTATATAAAAGAAGATGTTCGAAGAAATATTTATATGGTTCTTCAGCTGTGTTCCAATAGTTTGCAAGAAAAAAGTTATGAGTCGAAATTATTAATTCTATAACTGTAGAAATTTGTTGATCATTGAATAGCTTCTTTCTAAAATGCAATATTATTCCTTTATAGCTGTAAGTTATTACATAAATTGCATAAAAGGAGACAATTGTGTAATTAAACAAAAGTATTCTTTCTAATTAAAAATATTAATAAACACTGAAATATTTTGCACATATTTATACTTAAAAAATTTGAAAATTTGCCATAGAAGTTTTACAAGTATCTCTTTGTTTTTATCCTTGTATGGTACGTTACACAGAATCTTTTCCTCTGAAAATAATGGCACACATTTCTCACATATGTGATAATACATATGTAACAGATTTAAAAAAAACACGGTATAGATATAATTAATCACAATAGATATATTGCATTTATTAAGTTATGCACATTATTGAATAATTTTAATAATTTTAAGCAAAATGCGAATTTTTACCGAGAAATAGTAAAATTAATTTTTTGTCCCTCTGCTTTCTCATGCAAGCTACATCTTCGGACGTTATCAATTTGGAAGGTAGACAATCGTATTGACTATGCAATGGTACATTATGAAATTGCCAAGGTCCACATATATCATCATAATTTGTAATATTTTCCAATTCGGGCTCAGAACGTACTTTCCTGAGTATAATTTTCGTATCATCTAGTACAGTGCATTCGGATAGAAACCTGCGTTTTATATCTATTATTGCATTCGACTTGCTGTTATCGTTCATTTTCATATCATACTTTGATATGTCATAATATAAACAATTATACAAATAATGCTACCAACATGTTTACTGAATACAGAAGTATGTTAATATTTAATATACCAAATGTATGAATATATAAGTAAATTCATTAACAAAAGAGTTATCTTAAAAAAAAAAAGAGAGATTATTTGTAAATGGATAAATGCATATGTGCATATTCAATTAAAACAATAATTATCGTATTTAATCACATAATAAACTCACGCTTTCTAACAAACAGTTTTCTCTGGTCGAATAAAAAGGCATATTATAAAGAGCCATTGTAATATTCACAAGTTTATTTTTTTTTTCCCGTGTAATTCATTTATAATTCATTATGAGTTGTCAATAAAATTAATATACAATATATTTTTTAGAGCAAGAAATTGTTATATGTGTTACAAACTAAGAAAGAAAATACATAGTAATAGCAGCAGGGATAGCCTCTCCTATCTTACAAGGTCTTCGCGTGCCAAAAATTCATTAGACGTTGCATATTTTAAATATACTGTTATTATCAATATTTATGGTGTATACTTGCAACTTACTTAATTTAATAAAAAAATCTCTGAAAGATAACTAATTCTTTCAGTAGAAATAAAACAGTGATGAATGTTTAAAGTATGTATCAACTTTGAAAAGTATATAATGTTAAGTAATATAAAGTTTTCAAACATAAAGGATCGTTTCTCTTTTCTATTATATGTACATAATAATGAGGAAAATGAGAGTCACATGTATGATTCCATCATATATGTACTGTATTACATTTGTTAAATATCTACAATGCATAAGAGACTGTAACTATACTATAAAAACAGTTTGTTTTGACGAATTCTAAAAACTTCTCCAAACAAAAATGAAACCTACCTGTGATTTTAACAGAATATATCTAGATAATCTCGTATCTCATAAAAATAAAAACAGAGAGAGAGAGAGAGAGAGAGTGGAAATAAATATATAATTAAGATATATAAGGATATTAGAGATTATAAAGAGAAAAATTGCACCCTGAGAATTTCTTTTTTTTGTAACAATTTTAAATAGTTTTACCTATCACATTATTACAAAAAATATTATATTTCAAACATACAATCCAATGATACGTATCATTGCACAGAAGATGAGAGTATTATTATAAATCGCAAGAAACATTTTCGCAAGCTTGCATAATGGATCATGCACATGTGTATTCTTGTAGCACCTTTATCAGTCAGAAAGTAGAATCCACCAAAGAAAGGAAACCTTTATAAATTTGTAATATCTATTAATATCTATATAGTGTTTTACATAAACACTACATGCCTATACAATCTCAAGACATATCTATAGTGTCTTAGTAAATAACTTTCTTGCAAAATTTTGCAAAGATTATGTGCCTAAATTAATCGCGAATAAGTAATAGAACAGAAAAACTATAATAGGAAAATAATATTATGTTTTTAAATATTATATAACACATAGATTACAATATTATTATGCACAAATAATAATTCCGACTTTAATAAAGCTGATACAATAATGTAAATGTTACTTAAGAAGTAAAAAGACGAGATATCGCATAATATTATTCAATGTTGGCCATTTAACAAGATAACATTGCAAAAGTTTGGTTAAAAAGAATTATTTCGATTATGTGGGATTGCTATATTAGATATTTCTATAATAAAAAGCTTGAACAGAGATATATTGCAGTAATACTAAAAGGAAAATTCACCAACAAATAAGCACAGATATGTCATTAGGATAGAAACATCATAAAATTTAGAACTGTTTTTTTCACATATACTTTGTGTAAACCATCTTTTAATTACAAGAAACTGTCAATATCAGCTAAATATCATACATCAATATTATAGTTACACATTTATACCTTGCAGATTATAAATTTGACGGTCATATAATGGAGCTTATTTTCATAATCCGCGCTTTTCTTTCTTATCTAATTATTTTAATCCGCCGTGTTTATTTATTGTTCCAATAAATATAAAGAAGGCAAAAGGCGCGAGAGAATATATACTATAAAAAATATTAAACATATAACAGGAAATATAATATACTCTATGAAACTGCATGTGTGTGACTACTCAGAGATACCTCCCATATTATATAATACTAATACAAAAATCTGCTAAAAGCATTATAAAGTGCAAATGTCTATTCTACACAATATGAAATTGATATATTTCCCCGTTTCCTTTTTTTTTCCTTTTTTGATCGCGCTTTCTTTTCATTATATATTCTATTATTATAAAAATATGTGAACAGATTGATATACACCGAATATGCATTTGATTTGTAACATATTCATTAGGCATATCAAATATTTTTCAACTTTTCATTAATGGAATAATATCTCTTGTAGTTTTTTCCCAATTAATTTTGAAAACAGTATATATATTCAAATAATGTAAAAATATGTATAGATACGAATATATATATTGTGAGACACATACGGATTTAGATAATCACTTGCAGCAATTGCCAGTTGCTGCCTTTTGCCCATCCGACTCGACTAGTCGACGACCTTGACCACTCGTACTTGCGCTTCCTGATTGTTCGTTCTTAGGAAGCTTTTTAGCTGTGAAAAAAAAGAAAAGATAATTATTTGTTTCCGCGCGTTCTACGATAAAACTATGCGTGTGTCAATATGTTTTAACGTTGTAGACCACACACACATTCTCTCTTCTCAAAAATATTATTTACTGTTCAACATGATGTGTTATCAACATGTACAAAGTTTTCACGCACTTTGATTAGTGATAACGCGTAATACAAGATGGAATAATATTTCGGTGTATACATTATCAAATAAAATGGCAAGTTTAATATACAAACACACATTATTGCTTGATAATATCAACGTTTCTTTTTACAGCTTAATTATTTTGTTATACTATTTGTTACCTATAATAACATAATGTATAATCATACATTAATAGAAGAGAAACAAAGATATGTATAGCTCACCAATTGCAAGGAAAATATCGTTGACATTCATCGCCGTTTTAGCAGATGTTTCCATGAAAAGAAGGCCATTTTCATCTGCATACGTTTGAGCTTCATCATATTCGACAACTCTTTTATTTGCCAAATCTGCCTTGTTTCCAGCTAATGCTATTACTATACTTGGACTGGCCTGGCGCTGCAATTCTTTTACCCATGTTTGGGCACGTGAGAATGTATCCTAATAAAAAATAAGCAAACATACATTTAGTTCTGTATTTGCTAATTCATCTTTATCATAAAGATAATTCATAAATTTATATATTTCTCTCTCTTAAACCATCACTAAAGGAATTGACAGACTGCCTACCTGGTTTGTTATATCGTATACAACAATGGCTGCTTGAGCACCACGATAGTACATTGGCGCAAGACTATGATAACGCTCTTGCCCCGCAGTATCCCAAATTTCAAATTTTACAGTTGTGTCGTCCAAACATACGGTTTGTGTTAGAAATGCAGCTGGAAATAATAACATTTGCTATAGTGACAAGTAATCAATATAAAAATAAGTGTACAAAGATCAAATATATAATTTTTTGCTTGTTGTAACAGCATTGTAATATTACAAGTTTCAGTTTTAAAATCAGACAAATTATAAATATTTCTTTAAATATATAATTGTGTGTACAAATAAAAAAAAAAGAGTTATAATTAAACAACTTTATATTTATATAATTTAAAGAGATAAATTATATTTTGATAAATATGGAATTGAGAATTATATTAGTAGAACTATATTAGTATTCTTACCACCAATTGTACTCTCCTGGTACTCGTGGAACTGTCCTTTGACAAACCTTAAAACAAGGCTCGATTTTCCAACTGCAGATTCACCAAGTAAAACTAGCTTAAACTGACAGATTTTCCCTTGTGTCGATCCATTTGGTCTTTGAGCCGTACCCCGATTCGCCATGATCACCTGAAAAGAAAATTTAATTTCTTAGTTTTGATTAATCTTGCAATTTTATTAACTTTAAACAATATCGTTAAGCTTTTGATATATTTGTGAAGTTATTAAACTTCTAAGAAGCTTCTCTATTTGCTTTATGATAAGTTTTACACTTGTAGGTATGTTTAGTGACATCTTTTTTTTAGTACCATTGGCTGTTATATTTAAACATTATAAAAATCAGATAAATATGAATTCAATTGAATCACAGAGTTACATATTCTAACAATAATGCAATATTTCAATAGAAATTTTAAAATTTTTAAATGTTTAATATAAATTTTGTAATAAAATATTTTTCTTTCAATATCTACACATATATATAAAAAATATGAAGTAAATAAAACTTTAATATTACACACACACACACTGATGCTAAAAAGTGTTTAATATGAAACACACATAAAGATATTTCCAGAGATGCTCCTACATAAAAAAAATTTTGGAGAAAAATAATCGTCATAACAAGATCTTATAGTTTGCTATTGTCATTGCTCGCTAAAGTTCAATTGAATAGATAAATGTCTATTTATAATTTTAAATGTGTGACAGATAAGATGTTTCATGCATACGATAGATAATTATAATGCTCTTAAACTGTATAGAGTCTACGTGCCTATTTAATTTCAATTAGAAATACAATAGGAGACAAATAAAAGATTGGATGTAATTTTAAAGAAAAAGATCACTCGAGAATAATTGTAAAAGATGTAAAAGAGACAGAAAATCGTTTTAAAAACAGATATTTTCATGAAACACGAAAGTGCAAGTGATAAGATAAGAATATTCAAAAAAACAAAGATTGTAGGGTGAAAACGATATTAAAATAAAAGTATCATTAAAACAACAAGTCAGTAATGCCTGAGAAATCTCAAAGCGTAAAGCAATAAATCACTTATACTCTAATGTATAGATCATTACTGTATTTATTATTCTTTGATTAACGCGATCAATTAGAATTGAGGATTTTAAAAACGAGAACGATTACTTACAAGCACGGTGATAAAATCGAAGGGGTGGCTAACTAATTTGAGAAACAAAAAAGAGTACAGGCTCTTTTTAACCCATTAAGAGATCCGGCACTGTTAATTATATTATCCAATTAACTCTTTGTGTGACTAAAGTCGTCGAGAACGACGACTCCCCGCATTACTTTATTTTTATTTTTTTTATTTTATTTTTTTTCTTTCAATTACGATCGCGAGAGGAGACTAGCGCGAAAGAGATCGAATACGGGAGTAGCCGTGACGAGAAGAGCGATGCACCAACTTTTACGACAATCACGAGATTCGTACAATGCTTGTAAAAAAAGGATCTTGGGTTCTATGTACCGTACGAGCTGTCTCGCGACATTCGCGTGGAGAGAAAAATTCGCCGAATAATTACTCTACGTCACTGATAATCTTGAGTAGATGGGATACTATCGAAAAATCATGGGAAACCGTTAAAACGACGCGTCGACGATGAAGGAAAGGAGAAAGACGGGAACACGGGAAGAGCTATGTCGCGTACATTTGTGTGTGTGTATATGTGTGTATGCGTGCGCAAGCGCCGCGCAGCGTATGTGTGTGTGCAAACAAGAGGGAGAGATAGAAGATGCGAGATAGCGAAAAAAGATCGGCGAAGGAAGGAGAGAGAGTGAACGAGAGAGGGAAGGAGGACAGGAGAGACGAATAAAGGGAGTGAACGAGAATGCGCCACGATTGTTACAGCCCTGAGTACTTGTCACCGCCCGAGGTTGAAACGTCAGCAACATCCGAAATATTAAAACGCCCCTCGAAAACTCGAGCACAACCGGAGCGCACCGTCATCCGACAGTCACATAGGTGACAATACACGCGCTTCCTTTATCTCTCTCTCTCTCTCTCTCCCGTTCCCCGTTCCTCTTGTCACGGATGTAGCATGCGTATAAACATCTTTTATCGAATCTCCCGGGTGGGGAGAATATTATAATTTAGCGATTCGTTTCTCATCTCGCTCGCTCATGCTTGCACGCTCTCGGGATGACGGACACCTGCCAAGATAGAGATCATGAGTCTCGGGAGTATGCTTAACCTGTTTGCGTTGAGGAGGTTCGCCGTTAGATTGATGCGCCGCGCTGGCTAGCTGCTTCTTCGGGAGATGTTGACGATGACGACGATGACGACGACGACGACGATGACGATGACGACGACGACGACGACGACAACGATGTCGACGACGACGACGACGACAGGCGCAACGCGCAACGCCGCGCGACGATGATTAACGTCGATTCACTGGCGCGAGCCGAGTCAGGCTCGAGTCAGCACTTGCCACCGATAGATCGGCCCGTCGACCGAGCATAGATCGCGCAATCTATGTAGAACGTGTACATTTATGACAGCTCCCGGCGACGAGAAGAGTTAGGGTGGACAAGATACACAAAACCACGCACGCAAAACTCCAAAGGCAACTCTCCTCTCTCTTTCTCTCTCACGCGCGCGAACCGATCCCGTGAACTGTATTCGCACTTTCGTCCTCTCGCTCTCCCTCTCTCTTTCTCGCGTCGTCGCTTCTCGCTCGCACTTCGATATCGTCGCGCACAACCTGACGGTGAGGAGGCGTACGTCCCGGGGGAGGTGTTATCGCGTTACACCTTCACGATTTAATCCTGCGATCGTTCCCAGTTTTCCACCGTAACCTACATCGATGGGCACCGACGACGACGATGAACATGCATCGACAGCGAGTAATCGGAACTTTGACACACCGTTGCGTTGGAAGAGGGAGAGAAGGAGAGAGGGAGACAGAAAGAGAGAGAGAGAGAAAAAGGGTAGATTACCGACACGCGCGATGCATACGGTGCTGCGTCACTTTTTGCCGATTCGTTCCGCTCCGTTTCCGTAGGTCGTGCGACGCAGCGATCTGCTCGATTACTTGGTCGATTTCGCAGAACCGGAAAAGCGAAATCTCGAAACGTCGAACGGCTCTCTTTCTCTCTCTCTCGCGACTCCGCCGTTTTGCCTTCTCCGCGATTCACGAATGTATACGTACCGACTACTACGAACAAGTAGGAAGCAGTATGTGGACCATAGACATATAAAATACGTAGACGGAGCATTAGCTGTCGATATGGGCAAGGGGGAGAGTTCAAGATAGACGCAAGCGGATGCATCGGAATGTGATCTTGTTCGGCTCGGAATGCAATCTTCTTCGGTTCTTTTCGGGTAGGTTCGGTTCAGCTGTGTATTTGTGATTGGTGATACACAGAAGTTGTATTGGTACCCTTTCCCCCTCTTTTCCACAAATTTTCCCATCATCGCAGAATAAGTTTTGTCTATGTATTTTATACTATCTATGGTATAGACACGATAGCTTGTCAACTTACATGAAGCTAGGCCGACAGAAATTATTAAATATGATTTTTTTAAGTTTTCTGAGTGTATTTTGTATGTAAATTCTTTGTGATTGTGCAAACCCATGAGCGGAACCAATCGTGAACGTAACAAAAACTACGGAACGCTCGCGATTGGTTCCCTTCTCGTTCCGCGTTACGCTAATTCGCTGCATGGGTTTGCACCCAAAGGCTTTTCTCTGGTGATACATTTTTAGTAATTTATTGTTAGCAAAAAAAGAAAAATACCGCACTGGCATCTTGTGCTATTCATTGATTGGTCCACGCGGCAACAATGGATGCGATTGGTAGATTTGAATCAGACGGATCTTTAAAAATGGACGTCCACGATTCGAACCGATTCATTTCATATGTTGGCTTTGTTCACGATTCGAGAATACGCACAACAACAAAATGCTGAACTATATCAAACTAAACGTTATAATATTTTCTGGATAAATATCTCCGTTGCGTTTGACTCCTGACGTGTGGCTATATAATTTGTGTTTATGCAGTGATCAGCAGTGATATAAATTTTCGAGAAAACTTGGGTTTTGCACTCGACACATTAATTAGGTAGAGCAATTCTTGTCAAATCCTTTTGTAAAATATTCTAATGCAATAATGGAGAAGTATCAACATATGAGAGCATTTATATCAGCGGCCTCAGATTATACCAAGCATCCAAGCGAAAGTGCTACGTCTGCTATACAAAGAAGTCTTGGAGTAAATATTATTTATTATTTTATTTATATTATTAATTAGATTTGGAAAAACACGAGATACATTATTTAATATTATAAATTTATGTTTTTAAGATAATAAGCGTGTCATTGGATCTGAGTATATTTGATCCTGGAACCAGCATAGCTGCAGAATTCTATGTGAGTCTGTATGAGCTTATGAATTCTTTAGGATCACGATCCACTTTGATCTGGACCGCCGTAGATGTTTTACAAAATGCTTGCAGAAATGTTCCCGCTAGACAATCACTAATTCATACATACAAATTTGCGCCAATATTAGCAAGATTATTAGAGGTATGAAATATTAATATTAAATTATCTTGTTACATAATAAATCTTTATAAAGAGATATATACACATTTATCAAAATTCTATTATTTCTAGTAAGCTTTATTAAATAATTTAATTAACATGTTTTTTTGTTTTTTTTTACACGTATATAGGCAAATTTGACAACTGAGAAAAGGATACGAGTATTAAAATTACTTCAGGAATTAACATATGGAATCAAGATATTGTGGCAAGAAGCTCATCTTCCATATTTAATCTCTACATTAACTCAATGGGTAGTACAATCAAAGGAAGAAGAGATTATTGCACTTTCATTAGGAGTGCTGGTAAACCTGTGTTATAAAAATCTTCCAGCAGTCTATACATTGATGCGAACCATCAATACCAAAGCATTCATCAGAACATTATTAAAACTCCAAGAGCACATTAATACTAGTGTGCAATGTTGCAAGCTATTGATTATATTGGAGCCAACCAATACAAATATTTCCGAGAAATATATCATGGACTTTGCATCGCTAACTTTCACAAATCTTAGAACAGCAATGGAAAAGAAAGACGTTTTATTATTGAGGCACATTATCGATTTTTTTAACGATGTCGGACAAAATGAGCATTCGCGAAATATACTGCTTACATATTCAAAGTAAGTCTATCAAATCAGATATTTGTTCAACATAATGTATAAGGATACTATGTTTTTTGCTGTTGTCTATAGTTATGGCAGAGATGTAGAAAATATATTAGCCACTTTGGAGGAAAACACAGATCCAGAATGTATTGCTCTTATGATGGAATTTTTACTGTCATTGGTGAAATTGAAATTAACTGCCTTAACTCCTTTGTATCCTGCTTGTATAAAATCGGCTATGACATGGGTACCTGTGGAACAGGTATGAAAATTATTATTGCAATTCTTGTTAATTATTAATGCAATAATTGGAAATCTAAAGATGGTGAAAAAAAAAGAGTTAATAATTTAATCCAAGTTTTTGTCGAAAAATTGTAGGTGTGCTCTAAAGCTTTAGCACTCATACGAAGCATCATCATTGATTCACGACGCACTAAAACTTCCATCGAAGTTTTAACAGAGGTAGATCCATCTGTTCTTATGCTCATAACAAATCCAGAAGATGAAACTAATGGGCAAAATGGAAGTCAAAATGCAGAGATGGAAACAAAACAAGCTGAATTGATGCAACTGTTTCAAGAAATGATTAAAACTCCTGCACTTAAGAAAAAAATTATGCAATCGTTTAGCGAACACGCAATGCGTAGATTATTTAGTCGCATGCTAGATAATGAATTTCCTGCTGCTGGGGATTGGACTGGAAATTTCGTCCAAGTATGTTATCTAATGCAGAATGTATATATAATATGCTAAAGTTATAGTTGTATTAAATACATTTCCAATTTTGCAGAATGCTTCCACCAATCTTTACATTTATGCATTAGCCTTGACAGCAGACTTAGCGACAAGTTATTCCAATTGGTTGACATTGTATTCTGAATTACTTAGTAAAAAGCAAATACAAATGGTAATGGCGTTAGCATTATTCACTGGTGATGGGGAAGTAAAACAAAAGGTCTTGCAATTAACATCATCAACTGGATTTCCACAGGAATGGTAAGTGTTTCATGCAGTAAAAATATTTAATATTTTCATTTAATGCAATAGTAGTACAGTTGTATATATGGAATTTCTGTTTGATAAGTGTTTCCGCAGTGGCGGTCTGCATGAAAGAATTAGAACCATTAATGTTAGTTCAAAGTACTAACAGCAATGTATTGGAAGTTGCGAATAAGGCGTCCTTGAATTATACCGGGAATGAACTGGCACCATTATTCTCCATCACGCAAGAAGAGCGCCTCGATGCATTCTTAGCCAAACTCGAATCAACTTTTGAATCGAATCGGATAAATGATATTCCGACGTCTGCGGTAATGGAATTATACGAATATAAGGTATAATTTTTTGTTTTCTTCCTTCCTTTTTTTCATATTTATGACATAATTTAGTACAGTATATCTACATGCATTATATTGTAATTAATTTTACTAAAGTTAGCGACAATGAGACATTCCGAAAGGGCGATGCAATCGAGTTTAGAAGCGGCGAATAATCATGGTACTAGTCTTCAACACAGATTAGCACAAGTGATAGCTGAGTCTAGCAGATTACACCAATTATTGTTTGATACCCAGCAGTGCTTGGAAGGAATAAAAGCTGAAAAATCTATATTAACAGGAAAGCTTCACGAAATGGAAGATCAATCTAAGAAAGCAATTTTTACAAAGAAACAAGTTAGTATTTGCTACAATCACGTGAAATGTGTTTGCAGCTATAACAATTTTTTTTTTATAATATAGCTCTTGCTTTTTTTTTATCCGCTTGTAGGAAATTGAATCACTGAAAAAAATTGTGATAGAAAAATCGACAGATTTGAAACATCTGAATGAGAAGTTAACGCAATGTACAAATGAATTAGAGACCAGCAACAAAAAGATTGATACATTAAGAGTAAAAATCCAGGAATTAGACAACGAACGTTCAACTGCAGAAAAGAAAGCTACAGATATGAGCAACAAAAATCACGAATTAAGTAAACTTTTACAAAAATTGAAAGATTCTCTCAGCAAAAAGGAACAGGTACAATTAATTTTTCTTTTATATTGGATTAAGAATGTTCTATGTTAATTAATCACACTTTTTATGTTGTGTAGATTTTAGAGAAAAAGAATGCTGAAATAGAAACAAATCAAAACGATATATCTGCGCTTAAGCAAGAAATTCAACAAATGGTGCAAATGTTACAGATGCATGAGCAAACCATATCGGAAAAAGAAAAGAATATTCAAAGAATGAAAACAGAATTGGTAGATTTGAGCCGCATGCGGGATATGATTTTTGAGCTTACTGCGAAAAAGAAAGATGATTTAAATTCAAGTTAGCATTTTTTTTCATTTTAGAACTACACTAATAAAAGAAAATAATGAAAGTGTAGAAAATGCACTTATGACTTGGGCAATATAATTTTTATCCTTATCTAATATTCCCATACAAACGCATCTAATATTCTTCTGTTTAATTGTATGTTAATTCCCATCAACATATAAAAGAACAAGTAGATGTAGTATTTTTACCTCGGAAAATTAAACAGATCGAATTATGAAAATAAAACACAACAGAAAAATTTTATAAAAATGGTGCAATATATATATTTTAACAGCAAAATTTATTGAATGGATGAGTAGTAAGAACATGATTAAAAATTTGTGTATAAATAATCGATTATTGTTATCGCTTATTTAGATATCATCAATACATTTGGAAAAAGTTTTTGTACATTTATTCACATAGAAGACTACTCTAATATTTTTCTCGCAAATTAAAATGTGATTATGTCATTTTGTATATACATATTGTTATGCAAATTTTTGTATTTTTAAAAATATCATTCAAATTGAAGATGTACGATATGCATTCAATATATTTCATATGAATATTCGTCTATTGTGCTAGATACAATTTCTAATGATTTCTATTTCATATCTCGATACATTTGGAATAAAATTTCTATAAATTATACATGTACTTCTTTCTTTTATAACGACAAAATCATTTATTTGTTTCCATATTATTTTATGTTTGTTTCATTGTCAGAAATATATATGTCAATGACATATATTAACATTGAATATAATAAATTCCACTTACATAATTTTTTACTCCCGACTGCTGCCAACCGAGTAAGAACATGATTAAAAATTTGTGTATAAATAATCGATTATTGTTATCGCTTATTTAGATATCATCAATACATTTGGAAAAAGTTTTTGTACATTTATTCACATAGAAGACTACTCTAATATTTTTCTCGCAAATTAAAATGTGATTATGTCATTTTGTATATACATATTGTTATGCAAATTTTTGTATTTTTAAAAATATCATTCAAATTGAAGATGTACGATATGCATTCAATATATTTCATATGAATATTCGTCTATTGTGCTAGATACAATTTCTAATGATTTCTATTTCATATCTCGATACATTTGGAATAAAATTTCTATAAATTATACATGTACTTCTTTCTTTTATAACGACAAAATCATTTATTTGTTTCCATATTATTTTATGTTTGTTTCATTGTCAGAAATATATATGTCAATGACATATATTAACATTGAATATAATAAATTCCACTTACATAATTTTTATGTAATAGAAGCTATTTATCTTACTTATTTCTCTTTTGGCATTATAAATAAATAATACCTTTGTTTTTAAAACAATAAATTGACAATATTTAAAATGTTTAGAAATTATATATAGATATATATTTTTTTGAAATTGTATAAATAAAAATATATAATTTTTAATATCCATATCGCTAATAATTTCAATTGTTTCCCTGTAAAGAGAGAATCTATCACACGTCATCATTTTTTAATATTAGATAAATGTGTATACATCAGATTTCGAGTGTGCAAGTTTTGATCTATTGTATGTATTGTCGTGTACATATGTGTATGTGAGATATACATATATTTAGTAGAATATATATTTGCAAAATTAAATGCCATTTATATATATAGAAAATATTTCATATGGTAATATAATTGAGAAAGAGATGTTGTATGCAAAGATATATTGAAAAAAATAGATCAGAATTTCTTTATAAGAGACTTATTTTTTTAAAAATTGGCAATAAAATTGGAGAATCATTATCTACTGCTTTTTTAAGCATTAATAACTTTTAATGACTTTGGATCATACCTCATTAAATTGCCTGGAAGGAAACTATGCAAAATTATCATATTGAAAAAAGAATTAAGTAATCTTAACATTTTATATATAACTTTTTTAATAATTTATTGTAGTAATGAAATTTAAAGTTATTTTTTTCGGAAACGAAGCATTAAAAATATTTTATTCTACTTTTTTCAATTTATGTTTGCACATACTGCTAATCACTTTCTTTCAAATACTGATTGCAAGAGAGACAGACTTACTATATCAAACTTAAGATTTGTATTTACTTAGTTTCTTTTCCTAAAACTGCAGATACTTTTATATATTCAGATTCATGTATTCGATGTGATCTGAATCTGGATTAAAAGCAAAATTGGAAATAAAAGAAATATAACAATTTCAATTATCTGAAGCAGAGGCCATACGGGCGACGCTTATCTAATTATCATGTGTTAGCAGAAATGGATAATACTGAAATACGACCCATTTGTCATTGTATTTATCACCTAATGATAAATACGATTAGACTATAAAACTTTAGAAAATAAATTAACAAACATTAAATTATTTTACAAAAAATAATCGGTAATATTTATACCGAGTATTATAAAAAATTGGCCAGCCAGTAAATTAAAATGTACTGTGTGCAATATGATTAGAGAATATATTATTTTCCACGTTCAATATCGCGTCTCTAATGCGACATCGTCATCAACTACCGCCTTTACTCCATGGCTGTTCAGTAGCAGATGCAAACAATAAATAGAAGCAATTAGTATCCTGCTGCCATCCAGAACACCGTATGCCAGCGTGCAAGAGTCTCCTGTAATGCAAAACGAAAAACAAATGCAAGCGTATACTATGTACACACTTGTATTTCGACAAGCAAATTTGAAACAGAGAATATGCGACGAATATATACTTACATGTCCCTCTACTATACTGCCGATAACGTAAGGCGCCAAAAAGCCGCATGCGTTTGCCGCGGCATTCGTCAATCCGTACAAGGTGCCCGCGTAACGGGGCGCTAACGCGATGTGATTCATCTGATTTCCGGCGTATACTGCGCCCTGAAGAGAGCCCAGCCCCGCGAGCATCAACATCACGGTCATACGATCGCATCCGGCCCAGATAGCACCGATGAAACTGAGACTAGGTCCTAATGAAGCAACCGTGTTCCACAGTTTAAACGAGGCCAAGGGCGAGATCAGACGACGAGCGAGGAGCGCATCCGCAAAGCTCGAAATACCGAGTCCCACCAACCAAGCGCTCAAGTATGGTAACGCCGAGAGAAATGCGTTCTGTTGCACATTTAAATGCAAAATTTTGTCCATATACGTTGGTAGCTCGGTCAGAAGAGTGTAAAACGCCCAGGACTGACCGCACTGTGTAATGATAATGGCCCATATAGGTGGAGAGGTGAAGATAGATAACCAAGGTACTCCCGGATCGTCGTTCTATCAGAATTATTTGCTTATTACACCAGACTCATTAATAATATGTTCGTATGAATATTAAACGTAATACCGACCTCGTCTTTTTTCTCAACGCTAGCTTCGATATACGCCTTTTCGGAAGGATCGATTTTTGCATGCTGCGAAGGAGTATCATATATAAATATCAACCAGAACGCATACCATACGAGACCAAGCCCTCCAAATAAATAAAATGCAAGTGGCCAACCACCCCATAATTCTAGTGAACACAGCCAGCCGCTCACTGGTAACGAAACGACAGTTCCGAAATTCGCACCTGAAAAAAATATAATAAGTATTTTTGAGCAGTTTATATTTATCAGAGGGACGTGGGCGGGGGGGAAAGAAGGAACAAAAATATTATACCTGCATATACTATAGCAGCAAATTTACTTCTCTCCAATGGCGGTACCCAATGCGCCAGCATACTATGCATCGCGGGAAATGTTACCCCCTGTATTATGAAAAAATATTAATTGCCGATCGCATGCGAATACACATCTAAGAGACAAAATATTTACTTCGGTAAAGCCTTCTGCGACCCGTACAACTAGAAACGGTACTAGACCCCAATATGCGGCAAATGGACTTATCACTGTCAGAACAGCAGTCAGAAACACTCCCAGACCATAAATTAGCTTGCCGCCCATTTTCTCGGCCATTCTACCACCCGGGACATTTGTTGTTACATAGCCGAGAAAGAAAACACCCAGTATGATACCTTGAGTCTTCTCATTCCAGTTAAATTCTCCCGCGCTCTGACGATGAAATGTATATTAAAGATAATTTCAAATTATATATAATAAAATAATAGAAAGATATTATAATAAAATAAAAATATAGGAAACAAATTTCCAAACATGAAATACTTTAAAAGCTTTGATTGTAAACTATAAAAGACACAATTATCATTATTTATAATTTATTAAAAAATCTATAATATAAATAGCTTTATTTTTCAGATACTAATAAAAAAAGAATTGTTTTTTTGAAAATAATATATTTTATGATGACATTGCAATGTTGCATAAATATTTAATGAAATAACTGAAAATAAGAGAGAAATGGAAAAATATCTAATAGATTTATAATAAATATTTTATTTTTTAAATTCATATATTAATAATAAAATATTATAAAAAATGTCCAAATATTAACATGTGTGTAAGTTATGTTATATATCTGAGTCATATAAAATGAGATAAAAACTTGGATGACTAATATTAGATGATAATTAATATCTATATGACCTATATATAGTAAAAAAAATATTTATTCAAAATATATGTAAAAGCAACAATAAAATAAGCTATCAATATATAACTATTTAGAAAAATAACAATAAACTCACCGGTATAAAAGTTCCATTTATTGGCTTAGTTTTGGGACAAACATCACTAGTATCATTGTCCTCGGTATGTGGTATCGCTGTTTGATTAACCATGGAAACAATGGCTACTGATAAATTGACCCTCATAGCATACACAAGGGCAAAGCCAAGAAAACCCAGGAAACCTAATGTATGGCGTGCTTTTATGCATGATTTAGTGTCTGCTGGAATCTGCAATGTATTAACTGAAAAAATAATAGTATAATTATATATTGCCAACAAAAAAATATTTAAAATATATTATGTATAACAATTGCAAAAGAACAATTTTTCATCATATATTTGTGCATAACAAATTTTGCATTATGTACAATTTGAGTTATCTCATGTTTTTTTTTAAATGTTAATTTGTACTAAAACTAGAAAATTAAGTTTAGTCATTTAACGATTAAGTTAATCAGAATTTGGCTCTGAGTCTATATATTTATTTCTTTAAAATAACCAATTAAAAACGGCCCAAGAAATCTGTCAAAATTTTAACAGCATTGTATATATCTCCTCCTACAATTACACTACTAATATTTTCAAAATAATAATTGTTGATTTGTTCTGTTTCTTTCCAAACTAAAAATGCGAGAAAAGTGCGGATTCGATAAATAATTATAAAATAATTTTGCATATTTAAACTAATTTAAAGCAGGTATTCGCGAGTATTGATTAAAAAATAAAAAAATCATACTGTAACATTTGAATTATCTCATATTATTAATGCTACTATTGTCTTATAAAAATATAAAACTATTCTATTATTTGCAATCTCTGTGAACATAATAGCGTTCTTTCGCGTTATCATTAATTAATATCAGTATCATATTCCTTTGTTTCCAAACAACACATCACGATAATGCTTTGGCGAGGCAAGCATCTCTGTCATTTGCGTAAGAACGATATGCGATTATGTAAATAGTAGATATAAGCGTACAAGAATGAGGATGTTGTTTAAAAAAAATTAGGCGGACCTCGCTCCAGAGAATCGTTGATGCAAAGGGGTTGATCGTCTCTAGAGACGCTCGGATCCAATACTTCCATGATGCCTGTTAACGTTCTCGTCGTCGTCGGTCGTGCCTGCTCTCTACGGTGATCTCACGCTTTCACGATGATTCACTACCGTTCTAGGCATTGAAATTATGTTTTTGTTACGCTCCCTCCAATGCATCCGTACCAATAGCAGGTCATTACGGTCGTGTTGTTACTGCTTCGAGAATGAACCTGTCACTTGCTGTCACTCGTCCATGCGAATGTATGTATGTATTGCGGAGTAAATAGTGGGGCAAATCCCACGCATGCGCAATGTAGCAGCAAATTCGCGAAAAGCCATATCTCAGCCATAGATGTAAAATATATAGATTGGACACAGCCACTCACATCGATCAGTGTCTAGGGATTTTTATTACACTAGGCAATTGACCAATCAGAGAGTTCTATGTCAAGTTGTAATAAAGTTTATATATCACAGTCTATATATCCAATGTCTATGGAAAAACAGTATAATTTCATATTTCATTCTGCTCGTATCTCGTGCCTCGTATTTTGTGTGCCGTTAAAATTTAGTAATAGTGATAAGACTTTGGACGTAACACACATAAAATTCCAGATTAGACTTAGGGTTTTAAAATTGTATGAAATTTGAAGAAAATGAATCGTCATCCAAATACCGACTACAAAAGTCGCAATGAACCACAAGTTGAATTGGAGAGTCAATTTATTTTGCGACTGCCACCGGTATATTTCTTATATTTTGATAAATTTGTTTTTTCAATTTTATGTAGATGTAATTGAAAATCAAAGATTATAAGTAATAAATTGTTTTTTTTTTTTAAGGAACCCGCTCGAGTACTGAGAGAAACATTACGTAGCAGTTTACCTTTAAAAGACAGGTTGATGATAAAATTAGAAAATGACATGCGTTATGGTGAAGTCAGATTTGACCACTGGCTACTCCATACTAAGGTTAATCTTATTATTATCATACATTATTCGATTGAAATTACTAAAATATAATTTGTACGTGAATATAGATTTGTTTGTATAACAAAGTTCTCATTTAGGTTGTAGATCTACCGACAATAGTGGAATCTTTAAAAACAATCGATAACAAAAGCTTTTATAAAACTGCCGATATATGCCAGGTAAGATGAAAGAATATTACAATCTCACATGAAGGTAAAACATTTTATATTGCATTTTATAATGCTTTTTCTGTGATATTTCTCAGATGCTGATATGTAAAGAAGAGGACGATCATACTGCAACAGATGAAGAATCTCCTGTTAAGCAAAAGAAAAAAGATCCAAACAAAGTTGATAAAAAATTTCTTTGGCCTCATGGTATAACACCACCTGCTAAAAATGTAAGACGTAGGAGATTTAGAAAAACTTTGAAGAAGAAATATGTAGAAGCACCTGAAATCGAGAAGGAAGTTAAACGTTTATTGCGAGAGGACAATGACGCTGTTAATGTTAAGTGGGAAGTAATATGTGAGGATGAAGATCAGTCAAAACCTAGTAAAGTATCGTCATCTGGCACAGTTAAGACTAAACGGGAAAATATTAACGGGAACACATCTCAGAGTCTGGATGTTGGTGAGTGATGGTTTAAATATTGTTTATAAAAAATATAAAAATTGGTTTTCTACATTATAATTTATGTTCCAGCTGAACACGACATATTTGGTGAAGCTGTGAGCGATAGCGAAGACGACGATGAAGAGGCAAACATAAATGTGATGGAACTAGATGAAAATAGCCATCTTACGGCAGATAGTAGAGTTTCAGACTCGAATTCTATGCAAGCTGCATATTCTGAAAGATCAAGTAACAATGCGACGACGAGCAGTGGATTAGTTACTGAATTTAGTAAAGAAATGTTTCAAAACGATAACAATGGTGATGCGGAAACCGAAAAACAACAGGATGATGCTACTTCGGCAAAAACTTCAAAATTGGAGCAATTTCACGCGGAATATATTATTTCGGATAATTACACGGAATCACCACAAGTATCCATATCTAAAGGTAATTTTAAATAAGTATTACATGGATCTATGAGGACAATATAAATCTTCAACTTTTATTTGTCTGAAAAAAAATCTAGATTCACGTCTTGCTACTCTTCACGCGGAATTGGCGGAACTACGGCAAAGAAGACAACAGCAAGAGATTGAAATAGCTAATATTGAAAATGTCAAACTGAGACAACGGTTCCAGGAGATCTTAGATAACTTGTTAACCCAAGAAATGCAAAAAGTACAAGAGGTATAATGAAAATAATACATGTATATATTTAATTACATTTAATTACTTGTTCTGACTTGTAAATATATATATATATTTTTTTTTATATTTCAGATACAAGATCTAGAACTGGAATAGGAAATGTATATAGCACAATTATATTAATATCATATAAATCATTGTTATAAACTTTGTGTTTAAAAATATAAACTATTTTGTTATTCTTTTTCTTAATAATTATAAATCATAATTATAATGTAATTATGTACTCATTGTGTATATAATTGAAATATATAAACTTACTAATTATAGCTTATACTTTAATAAATAATATTGTTCACACAATATTCTGTGTGAAAATAATAGAAAGAATTGTAATCTTTTTAGGAATTTAATGATATATACTCTTTAAAATATATGTACATATTTATTATGACTCCTATTAATAATATATTTTGTAATATACAGTTTTTAAAATAAAGTGCGGAGAAAAATAAAAGCTACAAACACTTTTTTATAAAACTTGTTTTCAACAACAATTGTTATATAAGTTCACGAAGATAAATATTTTCTGCCGTACAACTGTGCCTTCTTCTCAAATCCTACAGACTTAATAGGAGTATTTAATTTGTAGAATGGATTCATAGAGTACTGAAATAGAGGAGTATATCGATATAAAAATCTTTCCAATAAAACTATAGCAGAGTATACGCGTAATAATTAAATGAGTTGAATAAATCTCCAATATCATAGAAGCGACAATTACCTTTATATAAGTTTCATACATTTCATTGAAGAAATTTTTAATCCCATCCTCATTCTTGCTATCATGCACCATGACAAATCGAATGTGAGTCGCTGTCACGAAAGCGCTGACAAACCATTGATTAAACTTATCCACGACTTTCAGATGCATATTCGTCGTTTTCCACGTATGCTCGTCCACAAGGTCGAGCGCCGCATGAGCGATGAACTGATTTAAATGCGAATGATCCTCTTTCTATAAAAAAAAAGAAGACAATACGAATAAATAGGAAAATCAAATCGAAGACATAATCTTTAAAGCGAACTAACCTTCGCGTCCTCTCTCTTTCCGGCATTATTGAATTCTATTTCGAATAATGGATTGTCGGCGTGGCCGACAATCGCGAAGTAATAATTGGCAGTCATTTCGCGAGCGACAATTAATCACGTGTTATTCGCACCATAATACGATGACTTTTCCATCAATCAAAAACAACATATGTACATACTATATATTGCATTACGATATTGGTTGTGTTCGGAAAGCACGCTTACGCTCTAAAAGCGTCGTTCTATCTTTGTTATTTACTGAAAGCTGAACAGGGACAGAGCACGCTCATAGCGCTAAAAGCATGCTCCCCGAACACACCCATTCGTCGGATCGCTGTTTTTGACAACGCCTGTACATGCGAGTCGCACGTGAGTAGTTCTCTTCTGTCATCGATCACCGTCTTCGTCTAAGTCTGATCTGTGGAAAATAACAGAATACCAGCGCGAATTCGCGAAAAAATATAGGATCACAACCGCGCGACGACAAAGAGGAATATGATACTGACAGGCGTGTAATCTCTTTCGGTGCTATAATGAAGAGATTGCGCGTCGCGTCGCGTCGCATCGCGCGATACGACACGCACACACGCATCATTTTGGACGCCGTATCGCCGTCACCACCTCCGACGCTTCCTCCCCTGAACGAGCGATACGGAATGTTATCGGCCGCATATTAGCAGTAAGTCGTGAGTCGGAATGGAGACGTCGGCCTTGGTAATAGGATCCTTTCGAATCGGTACGTACCACACACACATACACACAAAATATGTATACATATATATATACAAGACTCGCCGCGAGAGACGTGCATTGCTGATCCTTATCTACTCAACGCATGCCAGAGTGCCTTTTGTGTGTTTGTTCATGTATCGTTTTTGTAAAAAATTTCGCGGAGTGATGTTATCATTGAAATCCTTCCAGAATTCCGCGAAGAAATACGGTCGGCCGCTGTTTAACAGACCTATGGATACACACATTAATTTCTTAATCTATAATTGATCTCCGAACTGATGACAAATCAATTTCAGCGCATCCGGCATATTCGATAGAATAAACACGATTGAATACATAATAAGAAGGATATATGTGCGTGCCGGATGCATCTAAAGTGCATATTAAGTTTTCCGCGCGATTTTCACACGATAGCGAGATACAATAAGCATCCTGGCATTATCACTGATAAATAACGGTTTATGAATGAGATTATCCAATGCGCATAATGCAAAGTTAGATGAGATTTGTACAAACACAAATTATGCTTTAAAATTGAAAACATTATTTATTTTATAACTGGAAACTCACAGATTGTCAGTTAAATAATTTTGATAAGAAAAACAACTTGTAAGATTTAAGTGATAATAGATAAGAAATAAGAGATAAAAAAGTGACTATCACAAAATAAATTTTGTTTCATGCATTGCTTCTATGTATTCAGCTTAACTTTTGCCATCTCTTTCTTAATATATATTTCTAATATATTTTTTAAGGAAAGGCAATGTCACTATAAATTATTTTATGAGTATTGGATAAAAATAATTTTGTATCAAATATATATACCACATTACACACTTATTATTTTTTATGTTTTATCTCGATGTAATTATTAGGTTGTATAATAATAGGCTACACAGATGTTTTCATATTTTCTATGTTGATTATTCACAAACGCATGATCATGTATGCCAATGCCTTTATTATAAATTGCTTGCACACTTGGATTTAACATTTCATATATCTCATTGTCAGCAGTATGCAAACAGTGCAGACAGTGCAAACAGTAAAGCAAGCAGTAAACTAGCAATAAGGAGATCAAAGGCTGGATGATAATGTCTTGCTAAAAATCATTTGCTGTGAGTTGTTTATACACCTTAGAGAAATATCTAAAATAAATTTTGTTATTATTTACAATTGTATTGTTATTGTACAAATGATATTATTTTCAAGTGGCTTTATTGCTTTTTACCAGACTATCCATCTAACGATATGCTTCTTTGTATTTTCAAAATTGTTTTGATTTCAGATCTCTGAATCAAAGAATTTGCAGTATATCAAATAATAAAGATTTATTGGTATTACCAATTTTTCTTGACTAAAGATAAAATGAGAATGTGTGTTATAAAGATTATTTATTTCTTGTGATGAACAAGCTTAATATATATGAGCTTAAAATATGGCCTTGAAGAAGTGTATTATCTTATCACAACATTCCATTTATCAAGTATGTATTTGAGTTGTAAAATATTGAATAAATTTATATTATAAATTTTTACGCAAAAATTATTAAGATATTGAATATTGAATTCGCCGCTTGATATAACATTGATGTTAAATGAAAGATTATCAATATATAAATATAATAGGCTAATTTTTCCTAAGTTTTCATGACTTTATTATAGATAATCATAAAACATTGATATTAATAGATAAAGATAATATATATAAATATTGTATTTCAAATATTTTCAATATTTGTTATATTCTACATAAATAATTAATGCAAGACTCTTCTCTCTATATCAAATTAATCACAAATGCTAATTGTATGCGTTTAATATTTTAGGGAGCAGTAATAAAATATCAGTAATATCATGCATTTTTTTTACAAGTCAAAATGGATGCAAAGGAAACCGTAATTCATACTGAAATATTCGTAGCATTATTGAGTTAAATCGCGATTTGTATTATATATCATGGTGCAGCAGTGGCTTCCCAATTTTGATGGTAAGTGAAGAGAAGACGTCTAATTTTATTTAAAAATCGAAATAGGAACCATGCTTTGTATTTTTTATTTACATTAATATTGCAAAATTAATCCATACTAAGATATTACAATTTCTTTAATTAATTATTTATAATGTAAAATACAAACGTGATTAGTATAACAAACACTATACATAACAAATACTGTATATTTGAATTACAAATGTGGAAATTTCTTAAAACAAAACAAGACTTATAATAATTTACATAGATAAACTTGTGTATATACTCATTTTTCTTGTCTATATAATAACAAAAGAGAATTATTTTTGTTTAGAATATGACAATACACATGTAATTGTTTAATGAGATTATTAAAGTTAAAAGATGATAGAATTTTTCACATATTTATTATATATTCTTCATATTCATATAGTATCCTAAAATTAAAATTTTAGAATATTAAAACATGAAAAATGTTCAGAGATATTAACAATGGAACAGATCTATTTATGATTATATTAATTTGTAGTTTGTAAATCTTCGAATCCAATTTGAAAATATAACTTGATAGTTCATAATCAGTTTTATGCACAGGTGGTCGTAGTGGACGGCGTTTTATACTAACACTCGCTGCTGGAATAGCTTTTGGCTTTCTATCGGCATGTTTGCTTATTACATCCACAAGAGATGTACCGCACATTTTCAGGTGGATGCCAAGTAGTTCTGGTCTTTCTAGAGATCCTCATCATTATTCAGAACTGGAGTCAGAGGTTAGTGTATCTATGCATACAGAATATTATATTTCGTATTTCAAATAAAATTTTCAAGAAATTGCTTCACATCATTTCATATAAAATCATCCAGTAAAATATAAATTTGTTGCATAACACATTTCAATTGATTTTTTCAATATGACAAACATCGATTTTCACAAATTTCTATAATCATTAAAAATTGAATATCTACGAAAATTAAAAATAAAAATTAGAGATTTAGATAAAACTGACTTCTTGTTAAAAAAAAAAATTCTGGTTAAAGTCATTGAATTATAGAGCTTAATTTCAAAAACTCAGGTTGTAATTAGACTAAATTTGATAGTTATGTAAAATATAGTCTATATTTTAAAAATAGTTTAAGAATATATATTTTTTTTAATATTTAATTTTTTTAGTTTTATAGATATCCAAATTTCTGTAAAATATGTGGAAATTGGCCAATTTTTAAAAAATGACTGAATCGGAAAACTAAATGAGGAAAAATGTTTGAAAATATTTTTTTTTAACTGTAGAAACATCTGTGTGAACAGAATTTATCATCATGTGATTGTGTATGGAACTTTTATATATTGATTTCTTGATTGTCTCTGATCCAATAGATCGGTCCTGAAACAGAAGTGAAATTTCATGGTGAAGATGAAGATTTTCACAAAGGAGAAGATAGGATAGCTCAGGATATGGCGAACAAAGTGCGTGTCCTTTGTTGGATTATGACCGGTCCAAAGAATCATCAGAGTAAGGCTCGTCATGTGAAAGCGACGTGGGGAAAACGCTGTAACATACTTTTATTCATGAGTTCTGCGGAAGGTATAACATTTTAAAAAATTACAGGAAAAAAAGTTGTAATATAAGCAACGAGCTTACGACAATATATGTCGTTTATTTTCAGACGCTAACTTACCTACTGTAGTTCTGCCAGTAAAGGAAGGTAGAGATAATCTATGGGCGAAAACCAAAGAAGCGTTTAAATACGCTTACGAAAAGTACAAAGACAAAGTAGATTGGTTCATGAAAGCTGATGATGATACGTAAGTATTTTTCGCTTGCAACATATGTATATGTATGTGTAACTTTTATCTTCAATATATAATCACAAATGTAGAACAATAATTCTTTATTGGCATTTTTGATATTAATAACCAAAACGGATGTGGGATGTATACTGAAAAAATTTAGAAAAAATAGGTAAATTAGAAAAAAGATGGAAGATGACGTATAAAGTTTCAGTCATTAGTTTTTCAAAGTATATTACATCAATAACAACATGTTTTTTTATAATTCTCATTGAGATTTTTACATTTATATTGAGATTATTTTATATGCATTAATAAACTAAAGAGACAAAAAAAGGGAGGAGGCAAAACTGAAGTCCAGAGAAAGAGAGAGAGAGAGAGAGAGCTATTGTGCATCTACTTGTATGCGCATATTATGTTTTAATTTACACAATTATAATATAAAATTAAAGAAATTATACTACTATATATTATGACATGTGTATGTGCAATCGCAAATCAATTTTTAAATCTGTTTGCAGGTATGTAGTAGTGGAAAATCTGCGATATATGTTATCATCTTACAATCCAAACTCGTCATTATATTTTGGCTGTAGATTTAAACCTTTTGTGAAGCAAGGCTACATGAGCGGTGGTGCAGGATACGTACTTAGTAAGGAAGGTTTACGTAAATTTGTGGAAGTGGGTTTACCCGATAAAACCAAATGTCGACCGGATAATGGTGGCGCGGAGGATGTCGAGATGGGAAAATGTCTTGAAAAGATAGGCGTACGAGCGATGGACACTAGAGATCCTCACGGACGGGGTAGATTCTTTCCATTCGTGCCAGAGCATCATTTGATACCCAATCATGTGGACAAGAACTTCTGGTATTGGAAGTATATCTATTATGATACCAAGGATGGCTTAAACTGCTGTTCGGATAGCGCGGTTTCATTTCACTACGTGTCACCGAACATGATGTACGTTCTCGAGTATCTGATTTACCACCTGAGACCGTATGGCATCAATCATGGCCTGGAAAAACCATCCATGGATCGACCGTCAACGTTGACCGAATACTAGTCCGTACACTGTCGTAAATAGATAATAAGATTCTTTGTTTTATACACGATACTAGTCCATTCGAGCCAACGATACGAGTGTAATATGTTCTCAGAGGAAAAAAAGTGTGATATATTGTACTTCTTAGATAAATGAACTCTTTATATACGTATCTATGTTAGTTGGGGGATGCTATAGAGCCATAAAGGATATAACTATAGCACAGAATGAAAGGGGAAGGAAATATATACTGCAAGCACAATAGATTCCTTCAGGGAAATCGTAGTTTTGTTGGTCCTTATAACATTGTCACTTTTTAAATTTATAAGATATTAGATATGACAAGAATTTTTTTCATGGCCATAAGCGCATCTTGAACAAAAAAATATATATATAATTATATATAAAGTTAATCTGCACAGAAAGAAAACAAGTTTTGTTTTATTAACAATGTATACGTTACTGAAGATGCCCAATTTTATTTTCTGTGTGTGTTCTCTTCAATTAAATACTTTTATATTCCTTTTATATATCATGATATTGCGAATGTATAAGCGTAGCACTGTTAGCGCATATATATATGACACCAAAAGAGTACACGAGTCCGGAAAATCTAGTGATACGAATAATTTCACATGTCTGGCATGTGAAAAATCTTCAGTCAATTTGATTCCTAGTCTAATTATGTATGCTCGATATTTTTCTCACTTATACATGAGCGAAAAATGTTTTTCGTCTTATAAATTTCTACTGTGCTTGCAACATACATAATTTTTTCAGGCGCTGCAAATTAAAAAAAAATCACGTATATAATTATATATATATACACATAAAACTGTATTTCGTAATATTAATATAATAATGGTAATAATAATTTTAATAATAATAATAATCCCAATAATGACGTACTACCCAGTAATAAATACTATAGATACAGAGTGAGTGTGGGTGTGTGAGTAAATTAATGAATTAATTAGGGAGTTAGGGGTTCTATGTACAAGTCATATTTGTACTATGCGACTGACGCAATTGGCCACCGTGGCTCCACTCAGACGCGCCCCACATTCCTCTCTCTCTCTCTCTCTCTTCGTGTCTTTTCTTTTTTTTCATTCAGAGTTAAATTGGAGGAAAAAACAATCACTGCGTAATTGGCTCGTTCTTTCTTTCTCACTCTCTCGCTTGCTCTCTCTTTCTCTCTCTCTCTCATTCTCGCCTTATCCCTCTCTTTCATTCTCAATTATCTAATCTCGGCGATGTCTCACTTCATAAATTATTTAAAAACAATATTTTACACTATAATGTATGTATAATATATAGAGGTCACCTAATTCGAATAAAATTTGTCAAACAGCATCGAAAAATTGCGCTAACGGGTCCAGGAAACATGATAACAGCGACCCAGTACCGCGCGAGCATAATATAATATTATAATTATCATACTTATCTCACATCGGGGGCTTATACGAGGCATCGTTTATAAAAAAGAAGTCCACCTTTCTTTTTCTTTTTTATATCATCTATAAAATTAAAAAACAACGTAATATCATTTATATTACTTCATCGTCATTAATAATAAAAGCTTTGTACAAAATTTAATTTACAATTAAAAACTTTTGGTTATGTAATTTTTCTAGAGAGATTCTGATTTGTAATTCAACTATCTATCAATAGAGAGGCAATCGATAATCATTTTCTTATTATGCACTCTCTTTTTCAACTTCTCTCTCTCTCTCTCTCCCTCTCTTTCATACTTTTCTTTCGTTCTCTCTTTCTTTCTCTCTCTTCCATTTCCATTCTCTCTTCTCTCCTGTCTTTCTTTCTCGCAACATCTCTCATCACTTGCATTCTCATTTTTCTGTAATACGTTCGTTTCTATCATTCAAGTTCCATATTTGCTTTCATTGGCAATAATCGTACAGAACACGCATTTCTCTTATGAAATACGAGATACGATCGTAAACACAAAGTACAATCTATTTCGCCTGTTATATAATAGAAAAATGGTAAAGAGAGTCGCGTACGCGCGCTGTATTTCGTTTCCATTGGGTTTTGAATTTTTCAACCATTGCATTCATCGTGTTATCTTGTGTGTATGTGTGTGTCGTGTTAATTATATTCCGAGTAAAAAAGGTTCTCGGTTCTCTTTACATATGGTCGAGAAGGATCGTACTCTGTACCTAGACACAATCTCTTTCTCTCTAAATACCTAACTAACGTAGTATAGGTATAGGTAAAAGGGCATAGGAAATCAGTTGCTCTCGTAAAGCCCCGAGTGACGATATAATAAGGAGTGCGTGAGAGAGGTGCACATACTGCACTACAACGGGAGAGGGTGTGGGTCAGACGAGAGCTGCCGTCGCATGATAGAGATGCATGAGCGCCTGCACGTGTACTGGTAAGCAGGACAATCGGTCCTTGGTGTTCGCATCCAACGCGAGCCACGACAGTGCGTTATATCCTTCCAACACGTACCTATCAATCATGGTAAATTGTTCGATAATAACAATTCGTCGCAAGCTCCTTTAACAAATGTCTAGAAAACGGAAATTGTGAATATATATGTAATCGCGAATACAAACCTAAGCACGTCGGTGGTGTATTGCGAGTCCAACGGATGAGCAGTGGGTGCGCTTTGTTGCTGAAGTAAATCGTCACTGTTTTGTTGTATCGCGGGACTGTGCAGATGTAACGCATTTTTCAAAAATACCGGACAGACGTTCTCAAGGTGAGGACAAGCTGCCCAGAACCATGGTGGCATTCGTCCCGTTGGCGCAGTCGATACTAGATAGCCAAGAGCGAGAGGTTGTTGCAAAAGGGTGCCAACTTCTTCCGTTTGTTCAGCTATCGCTATCTAAAGATGACCAAAGTTTGCATATTATTTTACATCGACATAGCAATAGCAGACTTAATCGAAAAGAAAATAATCTTTAACAACTTATTGGGTTTTTAAATTAATTATTGATTCCTGTATATTTTTTAAAATTTTTATCTGGGTACTAACATATACGAGAGAAATTATGGATAATAACATAAAAGTGCAATTACTAATATTTTAATACATTAAAATTGTTCAAAACATGAAATAAACATTATTAATTATATGAATTTAAAATACGAAGATTAATAATAAACTTTTAGAAAAATTTTATACGTTAATTTATATTATATTTATCCACATTGTTGTCTAGATTCTACAAAGGAAAAGAAATTTGGAAAATTTAAGATTTGAAAAAACGAAACATTTTTGTTCTGAAAATATATCAATGCGTAAATGGTGAAAGAACTGATAATTTTGTCCTTTTTTTAACACTATAGTGTTTCGCATTATAAAGACTTTTTCTCTTAGACTTACCCTTGGCGTATTACTGCACGGAAAGGGACTACCAGGACCATCGTGATTGCCTAAGCCCGATCCACCACCATCCCCTCCGTGCGGTGATCCTTCGGGACGATGCGGACTTCCGTTCGGGCTTTGTCCACCGCCTGCACCCGGTTCAGGCCATACATTGAATATATCGTTAAAATCTCCCATCCCTTCCATACCCTCTGGCATATCATCATTTAGAGCGGAGAACAATTCGTCATCTCCTAATTCGGGTACGTTATGTTGCTCTTGAAATGCTGTCTGCGATGACTGAAACAATACATGAAATTTTCCAATTTTTAACATATCTCTTTTTGTAATTAAGTTTTAAATTACAATTCTATCTAAAGTTTATTAAAAATTAATTGATAAATGATTTTATCACCTATTTGGTCCTTTATAACTTGGTTTTCAAAAAATCATCCATTTTCAAAATCGCTTTGATATTTTTATAAAAGAAATATCAATTTAATATTAGCCAAAAATTTTGTAGTTAAAAAAATATTCTTAGCGAAAACATTTTATAAGAGAGTAAATTGTGTGGACATATATAATTGAACTTCTTTACCTGGGTGGTAGCTGATG